ATTAGACGTTAAGTACTTTGTCAGGCTTAATATTTATCTGTAGATAGATACCCCCAACGTTTTTTTCTTATTTAAAAGAAGACCTTAATCTGTTATTTAATGTTTTAAATAAAGGTTCATTCGTTTTTCTGTTTTGCACCTCCTCCTATTAATATCTTTGTACATTCTGCACTAAACTGTTTTATTGTAGAGATCACTTATAGTATCTTCTTGATTTTTTATATTCTATATTTATACACTTTTGTTTTCTGAAAATGTGTAGTTTTATGCATGCTTTCACATAATTTTACAGCATATTGCTATACTATTTCAGACTCAGTATTTACATTCTTACATTCAAAGAAAATCAGTAATATCTTTAAAAACGACAGTCCTTTTATATCAGCTGTGCACCGTTATGGTGTAAATATAACCTATCTGTGAATTAGATCAAATGTAAAAGTCAGCCGAATTAGTATTGATACTGCAAGGAGACGTATTGTGTGAAGATAAATTGAAGATGTTGTTTAATTGTTGAATATATTTATGATCCACGTCAAGTATTCAGTTTCGGCGGCATTTTCTCAGTTTTTCCAAAGGTCTTCTCATCAGGGCTCTATAAATAAAGAACTACGGCAGATCTGTAATATACAATGCAGCCGAACCGTGTATTACAATGCCGTTATGTGATGACTTTCAAAGAGAAAAGCAAGAGCGCTCGGAATTAAGTATTATTTTATTCTTTTAAAATGTTTTCCGGATTTCATATCATATAAACAACAAATCCCAGCATGCATTGCGGCTAAAACATCCAATAAGCGAGCTTAAAACCATAGCTGAGGATCTTGGGTAATCGCTCGAATAATCGTCTGTTTCCGGTTATTTTTATTTTGAAATTCAGTTCCTGACGGACGCCAAAAAAGCCCGAGATTATGGAATTAAACCAATAAATAAAAGCAAGGATAATTGTGTGTTATTGGTGAGTAAATAACAGTGTGTTATTTTGAAAAGAATAACAAATTAGAAGGAAAAAAAGATTTTAAAAAATACAGATTTCAGTATCCTGAGGCTCTGAGCCCCATTTATTTTCCTCACAGACGGCAACAAAAGTCCGAAATTATACGATTTCAAATAAAAGTAATAACTGTGGCTTGATATTGAGTAAGAACATGTTTTTATGAACCACACAGCTTCCGGTCTTCCTCGACCCGACCGGAGAAAAAGACGTGCTGCAGGCAGTAGAAATACATTGCTTTTAAAATCGTGCTGTGCAACACGGAAAAAAGGGGCAAATCGTGTTGGTGAACACGAATCAATAGATTAAAAATCGTGTTGGTGAACACGAAATGCCGTGAGACTGGGTTGGATTACCCGCATTTACGATAATGTCTCTTGCACTATTTTATTAAATATATTTTGTTTTTATTGTACTATATTTGACATTTTAGGAAGGGTCGTATGGCTTTCATTTCCAACCATTACTTATCTGACCAAATCTTGAATCGTAAGTCTTACTCTAACACACTGTCCAATGTTTTGGCACTTACCACAAGCACACACAGGAATGAAAAATACACTTTTTGGTGATTTTACCACAGCACAGTGAACACAAAAGCAGATACCATCCGCCTACATTCTGGGTCTAACACCCAAAAGCTCAAAGACAAAATAACTTACGATTCCTTGAGTAATTTCAGTTTCCAGTATCCTGCCAGCTGTAATCTGATTGTCTGAGTCTGTTTTTTGTCTGAGACAGATTTTAAGAGAGGACATCAGATTGGAGTTAACACTGTTTGCCTTTCTGTTTCCTATACACGCAAAGATAGAAAGCCCTAAAGAAATCCCACAGACACCTCAGAAACACACACACACACACACACACACACACACACACACACACACACACACACACACACACAACACACACACACACACACACACACACACACACACACACACACACACACACACACACATTATACACATTACAACAACAAAGAGCAAAGACAAACTATCAGCCTTCTTTTTTTTCAACTGGAATACACATGGACTTGCTTACATACATAGCACTGAGTAAGTGTATGCATGCAAATACACATTTTTAGACCATATCGGTAGGTCTCCCTCACATGCCATGTAGTTTGTATAAGAAATAAAAAAATTGTCAGCTTTGTGTGTGTGTGTGTAAGTGCGTATGTGATTCCCTCTGTTTCTCTGCGATGGTGGAGCACTTGTGTTAAAGTTAAACAGTGCAGACACAAGCAGGTCACCTCCTCCATCATCCCCATTGGAAGGAGAGCACAAACACAGTCGTCAACTTAATCATCACCATTCACGTCAACAGAAATCCTTCTGTCGAGAAAATAACTAAAAAGGCTGTAAAGTTCAATCTTTCCTTCCGGAAGTCCATTAATTGTACCACAACTCAGATGGCTCAAAGATTGAAAGAAAACTCTACGGCTCCATAGACGAACGACTTAAGATGACTCATATATTTTACAGCAACATGTAGTTTACTTTCAAGTCAACAAGCATTTCATAAGAGTACTGTAGGTGTCAGTTTATTACTGACGGCTCTATCAAGGCAATAAATACAACGGCAATAAAGTCATAGGACATAGGCCTATTTGTAGTTCCTGACATCCTTATAGAGTGCCACAGTGACACGTCCTAAAATCCGGAAGTAAGTTAGCATTTTACCACTTCCGGTTCCTTCGACAAAAAAGCAATGCAATTTCTCCATAGGATTTTGGAAAATAGCTGGAAATAAGGTCTGTGGTTGACACACATTTAAGAGACGGATCACGTTTTGTTCTACGACATTAAATCCATCAGCAGTGACCCCACTGGTGATTTTTGAAGAGTTTACGTGTCTGAAAAACGATGGTTGTTAACAAGTGGCTGAATAGGACTACAGAAGTTTTACGTCATTACACCGAACACGTAAACACGTGTAAATTTGTTTTCCCCCGTGTTCTGCTTGAAAGCAAGTAACTGCCTCCTGCAAACTGTTAAAACAAACGCTTCAACGTGTACAATTTTGAATCTGTGGTTTTGAATATGGATCTTAAGTTGGCGTGACGTTGAAGCAGCGACCCTGCTGTAGTTCGTTTATAGCATAACGTTAGCATTTTGCTTCTGGCGACTAGATTTATGATTCGAAAATTATAAAAGTAGGATAGACATGTGGATATTATCCGGCTGAACAAAACGTGATCTGTCTCTTAAATGTGTGTTAACCACAGACCTTATTTCGAGCTATTTTCCAAAATCCTATGGAGAAATTGCATTGCGTTTTTACTTCCGGGTTTACTTTCGGGTTTTAGGACGCGTCACTGTGGCACTCTATAGTGTAACAATAACACAGAAGATATGATAGTTAAACAACAATTCCCGTATATCTGCGTCTATGTGAACTTTTTAGCCGATAACATCATTACTATTATACACACAAGATTATTATGACCGCCGTCTGTTTCCTGGATATGAGGTTAAGGCTCTGTGTAACACTTGCTTGTATAAAAAACTACTTGACCATGTTAACTGTTAGTCTAGCATTTAAGCGTGCTAACATCAGCTAATCATCACTGAACACAGAGCATCTGTAAATCCAAAACCAAAGTGAACACATAAAATATTTGACCTGGTGACGACGCCAGAAGAAAAGTCGGGGGATCTCAGAAGTTATACTTATAATTAAAATATGATTGCATTCCATTGAGTGAGCTAGTTGTTGAGACGTTTCACTTTGAGCCGAACTGGTTTTCATCCAAATGTATTGCCCATTTAAAAATGTTTACAAGCTGACAAAATTGGTCAAGAAAGTCAGATGAACCTCTGAGGGTCTAAAATAAAGTGGAAAATTAAATTATTTGCTAAATCTGTTTCCATTGTCCCAATCTCACTTTCATCAATGCACCAACCTTTCCAAACTGGCTTTTACCTTTGCTAAAGCCATACTCATCAACACAATTAAACTCTTAGTAAGGTATGATTACAATTGTTAGAACAAGGCAATCCTTAGGATCTTACCTACTTTCACTGTCAGCCCCTTTGATTCAGATTATTGTGACTCCCTCCTGCTACATGCCGTTGTTACTGTCTGTGCTCACAAATGTTTCCATCTACCTTCCCAGCTTCCTCATTGCTGTACACAACATATTCTGAATCTGTGCCAACAACTGGAACAAAGCTTACATTTTTTGTATATTTCCTAATCGGACATAACAAAAAAAATGCATATGACATAGCTCAAGAGCAGACTTCATACAGTACAAGTTCACACTATGCTGAAAACTGGCTGATATTACTATTTAATTCATTTGTAACAAGTCTGAGTCCAGGAAATTGTTATGGTAAAATGTTCCATCTGCAGAACACCACAGCTGCTTTGACCATGAATATATTATCCTAGTGAAGGCACGGCATGTTCATATCTAACAATTACACATTGGGCCAACACATGGCCTAAATGAGAAATGATTACTTAATTCAAATAAGATGAAGGTTGCACCAAGCTGTGATATTTTTGATTTGCTACTGGTTTAATGCAATCTATGATCTATAGGATGGGGAGAAACTAAATTAAATGATTTAAAAAGGCATCTTATCCAGCCCAATCCAGCAACCAATCATTAACTTGTACTGATAATTGTGGTGTCCACGTTACGTTTATGGGACTTCTGCAGGTCAACAGAGCAATGGTACAATGCTGCAGCAACAGTTGGGCCTAACTTTTGAAAAAGCGGCAAGTGAACAAAATGTTGCTTGTATCCGGTTGTGTTGTCAAATTGACAAAGGAACAAATAACAATCCAATCCATCACGCTTTACATTTTTACACTGAAGAGCATCAAAGACATATAAATAAATACAAAAACAGACTTTCCAACAACCCACTTGCTCTCAGTCTGCAGTTTACTTTGATGGAATTTTTACACAGTTATAGGCAGGACAGCACACACATTCATTCACACTCAAATATTCAAAAATGCTGCAAATGTGCCTTTACCATGTGTTTACCTTAGTGCCATTGACGTTCCGTTGACCGATGCAGCAGAGCACGCTCTGTGGACCTGTCCATAGGAGCAGCTCCCCTGTCGTGCGTACCGCTCATCCCCACAGCAGAGGATCACCAGAAAGGCTCTCCGAAACGCCCGGTTCAGAAAGGCGTACAGGAAGGGGTTCAACCCTGAGTTAATGTACCCGAGCCACAGCCAGGCTGTCCATAGCTGCCAGGGCACTGAGTAATGGATGAAGGGGTCCACTATGTTGGTGATGAAGAATGGTGCCCAACACAGGCAGAAACAACCCATTATAACCGCCAGCGTCTTTGCTGCCTTGGTCTCAATGCGCATGCGGCTATTTGCTATGGGGGCCTGCTCTGAAGGGGAGAGGGCCATTGTTGTCCTGAGGCGGTAGTGATCCGTAGGGTCTGAGGAAGTGGAGGACCTCACTGTGATCATCGGAGTCGGTCCACTCACAGGGGCAGAGCCGGCTCGCTGTAGTGTCTCAATCTGCCGTACATGAGTCATGGCGGTGACGTAGATCCGCTGGTAGGCCAGGACCATAAGGGCCAACGGGACATAAAAGGCCACCGCAGAGCAGATCAGGGCGTACGGCCGGTTCACCAGAAACACACAACTTGTGTCATTGGAGGCTCCAGCCAAGCCTTTTCTCTCCTCAATCTGGGAAAGTTGAGAAGATACAGACAAAAAATCATCACAATGTTACAACAAGATATTCTGAACATTTCAATGCCACTTGAGTGCCAAATAATGTAATTACTAGACATTATGACCGGCAGTCAAGGATTAATAATGCTAGTCTTGCCTGTGAGTGTAGAGATGGAGCTAAGAGGCAGTTAGCCTAGCATAAAGACCAATTTGAGACTATATTTACCTGTACATTTGTAAGGTGTTGCTAAATTAGGCTAAAGAAAAATATAATGTGGTATTCTGAACTAATACTGATTGTATGTATATATCTTTGTCCTAATGGACATTTTGAGCGAGTCACATTAAAGTGTACAGTAGGTCTCTAAAGCTGAAAAGGTCATTTTATCTTATCGCCTTGTGTAATATATTGGCATTGGTACTGATGAGCTACCTTAGTCTGCATGTACATGAAACACTCTAGGTATACACAACATGTAAAATCCTAATTTAGGAACATTTAATACACATAAAGAGCCAATAACATAACCATATCACCAGAAATTAATGTTTTCCTCAGTGGAAATGGAGCATCTCAGTTCACACACACATACTGTGTCTACCATATCGTTTAACTTGTCACAAGTATTTATTGTGGCTTTGTATCAGCTGGCGTAAAAAAGCAGTTTCAATTTCAAACAAATCATTTTTGTGGCAGAACAAGGGTGTAATGGATTTTTTGTTTCGCGAAATATGAGAACAAAGAAGAAATAAACGGACAAAACACATTCAAAACAAACAACTAAAATCGGTCCTAAATAAAGACATAAGTTATATTTAGTGTTGCGCAATTGTGTCTGCATCTTTAAGACATCCATCCAGCTTTTGTAAAACAAATGATTGTTTTTTTCGATGCTGCCTGACTGAAAAACTGAGAAAAGGGCAGTGTATTTCATTAACTCTGGCTAAATAAATTCATCTATCCCCGTGTGCCTCTGGGAGTCCTGCAGCTCATTTCAAGGAAGCTCTGAAATAACCTCACGCCAAAACATATCCGAACCAGCAGGAAATGCTTGTTGAAGTGCTGTCTTTGCTCGCAGCAAGAGAGCCTCCACAGGGACTGGAATTGTTTTGTGATCACTGCATTACCGTGTCATTGGACAATGTTATTAGAAAACAGAGAATATTAGATTGGAAAGGTTTGTGCTGTATTTGCCCTCACAGGAAAAAAAGTATTTCTTCATGTATTTGAAAGAGTTATATGAGCTCTTGATACTATTAAAAAAAAATGTTGGAACATAAAATATATTTTGTTGATGCAAGATTTTAATAACAAGAATACATTCTGATCTTAGCTAAGGACTTACAATGTCCTCGATGCCGATAGCGTTCCAGCTTTGCATTATGGGTAGAAAGGAGATGAATATGGGGATGAACCAACAGCCGCTGAGCATCACTGCCACTCTGACCGGGGTCATCTTGTGTCTGTAGACCAGAGGCTGGCAGCAGATAGCGTAGTACCTGGAATAACACACACACACACACACACACACACACACACACACACACACACACACACACACACACACACACACACACACACCATGTATACATCACTTCAGGGGACATTACATTGACTTACATGCATTTCCTGGAGACTTATCCTAACCTTAACCATAACCAACACATCCCTAACCCTTAACCTTACCCTAACCCTAAACCTAACTAAGTCTTCACCCTAAAATTAATGATTCCCCTCATGGGGACATCCAATTTGTCCCCATAAGGGAAGCCAGTCCCCACACGTGACTATGTAAACAGATTCAGGTCCCCACAAGTATAGTAATGCTAGACCACACACACACACACACACACACACACACACACACACACACACACACACACAAACCTGTCAAGCGCAATGCAGCAGAGGTGCAGGATGGACGCTGTAGTCAACAGGACGTCCAGAGACGTTCGCACCAGGCAGAAGATCTCTCCGTATCGCCACTCGCCGGTAATCAGCTCAATGGCAGCGAATGGCATCACCAGCAATGCAACCAGCAAGTCAGCAAATGCAAGAGACACAATGAAATAGTTTGTCTTCTTCTTTCTGAGAGGATGGCAGGGGGACACAACAAATTAGCAACAAAACATTATCCATTCATGTATTCAGTAATAGTTCATGGGTAAGGTAATCTTTAACTATTATAAATGAAGACTGACTGACTGATGTGTAATATTTTGTAGGTTTTTAGGCAACATTTAAGTTGAATGCCTTGACAGTACATTGTGATGTTTTGATCACATTTTTAGCTTAAAATGCATTTTTTTAAGATGACTAAGACAAGTCTTGTTTTTCCGAGGTACAACACTCACTGTCTAGAGGTTAGGGTTAGACAACATACATTTTTCAGGATAGAATTTTTGTAATGTGAGTGCTTTGACATTTGGTTTGCATACTGAGTTTTTTAAGCACTGCTGGATGTGTTTTTAGTGCAAATAGCAGGGAAAAAATGCCTTGTTTTTTTTCACATCTAACTTAAACGTCAGCTATACATTTGAGGATCAATTTCTTTCTTTACAGCTATTGAAAGACATTGAATTTGCATAAAGTAGGTATTCCATGGCAGCGAAAATAGTCATTATAGTCAGGCATCGTCAGTTTTCATAATTACAGGGAGAACCTTGAATAAGGGTTTGTTTTTTGCAGATAGACCCTTTTTTTTGCCAGTTTTGAAAACTGTTGCTGCTTCCAAAATAGATTTAATAAACAGCTCACCGTAAATGTCTGTCCTTGCACAGTGCCACCATGACTAGCAGATTGCCACACACTGTCATTATAATAATAATGGAGAGAAATATAGTGAGAATAATCGACTCCAGCGAAATCAGGAATTCCTGCTGCTGTTCCTGCTGTTGTTGTCCTGTGTTTATGAGGTCATCCAACAAACTGAAGAAATACAAAAACAAACAAATAAAGCTATTATTTTGAAAGAGAGAGGGAACGACATGCCGGGGATGTACTGTAATTGTTTTACCCATATTAATTAGGTATATTTATGACATTTTAGAAAAAATATATTTAAAACAATATTTATTAATAAAATAAATGTAAACTGGTTAATCGTTTCATACATGTTTTATTTTTAATGTATGACTTACTGTAGAGGTGATTCTGTGGCCATCACTGGTCATCTGCATTGAGGTCAGCAGGGGATAGTCCTCTTCACCCCATGCTAAGGCCCTGTTGAGACACAAACACACACACACACGCAATGTAATATTTCTGGCTTTCACAGTAGGTCTGCATTTTTCTGAAAATAGTAGCCGGCCTGAGTGTGCAGACGTGCTGGTGGATATCTTTTTGTTTGTCTATCTTGTCAAAAATGTGATCCCAAATAAGAATCGGGATCAAAGTTTGAAAGCTTGTAATATTTTCAAAGCAAACAGTCTGCAACAGGCCAAAGCTGTCTCTGCCAGATTCCATCAGCTAGGTCCTCGCAATGCAACAAAAAATACCAAGCCTTAGTGAGAAACACAGGGGAAATTTCCTTTCTTACGCCAATGTCCAGGGAGGTCAAAGGGCAGATATCAGCTCTAGGGGCTTGTAAGGATTCATTAGCAAATCCTAGTTGGAGGACAGTGTGCCTGACCTACCCTTATTTAACCTGGAACATAAATTAAACATATAGTAGGGGAGACCAGGGACAGTTGCAACACTTTTTTTTTTTTTTACATTGCATTTAGCTGACGCTTTTATCCAAAGCGACTTACAATAAGTACATTCGACCAGGAAGACACAACCTTGAAGAAATCAGAATCATATAAGTACATCAGGTTTCATAGAGCCAAACATTTCAAGTGCTACTCAACTGGCTTTAGGTAAGCCAGTCCTTTATTAGTATAAAAGTGCTTCGTTAATAGTTCTAACGCTCGAAGTGGAGTCGAAAGAGATGAGTTTTCAGTTTGCGCCGGAAGATGTGCAAGCTATCTGCCGTCCTGATGTCAATGGGGAGCTCATTCCACCATCTTGGAGCGAGGACAGCAAACCCACGTGTTTTCGCCGATGGGAACTTGGGTCCCCCTCGCAGCGAGGGTGCAACGAGTCGTTTTTCCCCAATAAGTAAAACACCATTTACAATAGGATAGCCATTTTGCTATATTATACATTATCAATATGTCAGCAACTGAAACAATGTATTTAAGATGTTTTTATGAAATAAGTACAGGTTGGAAAATGTATTTACAAAAAAAACTCAACTGTTACAACTGTCCTTGTGTACAGGGACAGTTGTAACACATGCCAGGCACGGTTGTAACATGTTAATAACGGTTACCTTTTTCACACTACATGACAACAAATAGGGAAAGCTGTCAAATTCTAAGGCAACAAGATTTGAATGGGGTTTCACACATCCTCCAACAAACAATGAACAGGATAACAGATAACACACACAGCATCATCCTCTGTGAAGGATTAAACTGTTCTCTGAGAGGTGCTTCTACCTTAATTATGTAGACCTACCTCCTTTGAGCTGAGACCATAATATAAATCAGCTGCCTCCATCAGGTAGTCTCTCAAAAGCATCTCCTGCTCTGTTGACCTTCTTTGGTGTCTAGTAGCCTACTCTTGGGGGTGTTTGTGATCCCTGCCTCTCCAACTTCAGCCTCTTTTTATGGAACCGGTACAGGGTGACATGGCATATATCCAGGGACTTTGCCACTTCCCTGAAGGATTTTCCCTTCTCAACTTCATTTGAGGCCCTCTGCAGCAGAGCAAGTGGCACTCCCCTGTCTGTCTTCCTCTTTCTGACATTTGGCATACTGTAAACACAGGCACACACTTTAGGCCTACTGTACAGTATTATATTCTGTTTATTTTTACAGGGACAATGCACACCAACCAACAATACAACTGTATGCTTGAATGAACAATTGATCATTCAAGCAAATGAGCCATCATTGTAAATGTGCCATGTTACAACCGTCCCGTTACAACCGTCCCAGGACCACCAGTCTTGCTTCCACCCCCTGTGAACCTGCCTGGTTGCTAGCTTGACCCATATTTAGCTAGTTATATTTGTAGCTTACAAAACAGTGATTCTAATAATACTAGTTTGGATTCCTAGACATTTGAACTCAAGACAGTATCCAAAAAATACATCATATAATTTGAGTTAATATTTTACCTCAGAAACACACTTTTACTGATATCTTACGCGAGAAATTCAAACATGGCTCCTTTTTTTCTCAGCGATCTTACCATCTAACTGCGCATGTGCAGAGTGAGTTTCATCACTCTAGCTTGTTTGTGATTGGAGATATTGAAGGTGTTACAACCGACCCGTGTTACAACTGTCCCTGGTCTCCCCAGCCCCGGCCACACGAGGATGATAACGGTCGTATCTGCTACAGTTCACTATCAGATAGACGGTTCGGCCACACGAGGCCGACATGGAAACGCAGAAAACGATAACGATAACGGGTCCCAAGGTGGGTAGATCTGCAAACGAAACGCTCTGGGGGGGCAAACGACTCCGTGTTTACGCCTATCCGATTATTTCCTGATAACGTTGAAGCAATAGCCCCGCCTCTCCCCACCTCTCCTGCTCAGAGATCAGCTGCTGGGCTCTCAGAAGAGGGGGAGGAAAAGAGAGGCTCCGTTTTTTATTCTTATATTCTTATATAGAGTCGTTATTCATTTGTTTTAAAGCTCAATAAATAACAAAAAAGACCTTTGACCGGCACTTTTCTAATTTTGTCCGGAAGATTTAAACTTTAACGGACATGTTGACCAGCGAAAAAAAATCTAACTGAAACTCTGCTGCACTCTGCTCGTTTCTTTGGAAGAGGCGGAGAGGTGGGTTTTTTTCATCTGCTGGTGGACTACCGGAGAGATTTACCGTGCTTGCCCTCGGGGAGGGAGAAAAAAGAGGCTTCTCAATACTCAAATTTCGACTCCTCGGTCCTCCGGTAGTGACCTGGAAATTAATTTCAGCACGCCATTTTGAAGGACATCTCATTTCTCTAAATGCACACCGAGGATCGAGCGTCGAGGAGGCTCTCTGGAGGAGCTATAACTGAGGATACACTGATGGTTCCTCCACGGCTCCTCTGCGGATGCATTTCCGGGAACGGTGGAGGCGTGACGCACGGCCGGACTTATCTCAGCCAATGACAGCTCTGCATGCATCCCCTTGATATTATTTTAGAAACTGCTTTCATCGCATCGCGATGTTTCCAGAGAGAACAGCTGTGAGGTCCGTGCAGAAAGCAGAGCAGTGTGTAAAATGTATATCACTCAGTAACAGGCCTACTCTCTTTATTTGCTTTAGTTTAGTAGATAACTACAAACAAAGAGTCGATATTTTTCTAAGACCATTTAGTGCTTCACATAATAAAATACACAACGGCTGTAGCCTGATTATGCTTTAGGAGCTGTAGGTGTGTGTGGTACAGTGTGTAGGCGTGTGTGTGGTACAGTGTGTAGGTGTGTGTTGTACAGTGCGTAGATGCGGCGGACAGACGGGTCTCAGTTGGTTTGGTGTCCTCTGCTTACTTTTAATACTTGTAATTTGTAAATACAACTTTTGGCCCGTAATTTCAATTCCCCATTTCAGCGACCAGAGAGAGGGGGGGATATATCCAGTCTCTGATTGTGTTACGTTATTATGAGAGTGCTCTCGTACTTTAAATTGTATATTGTAGTGGTCACTAATTTACTCTATGTACACAATTCACTCATGGAACTACGGGTTGGGGGTATTGTTTCCGCACGGACATATATGTGGTTACCTTTATATGTTGTGTGCCCTCCTGGCTCTTTCTCTTGTCGTCTCGGGCTGCGACCCAACAACATCTACATTTCCGCTGCTCATTAAAGCAAGCTTTGCACCTTCGATGCACCGCCTCCGACTCCCTTTCTCTCGGCACTACATTGGTGACCCTGACAACGTCTTGTGAAGTTTCCGGGACGGACCCGAACACGGTAAAAAAACTCAGGTTTTTTTTCTCGAAATGCCGGGGATTTTTGGAGACGTCCGTGGCTGCCACCGGCACGCGGACTGAGGCTCGGTGCGCCCCCCGCGTAATGGCTGAGGACGTTGCTCGCCATTCCCACATCGTCTCGGCACTGGAAGACAGCAAGCCTTCCAACTACAGGGAGACGATGCACGACCTGCTGGGTAGGGAAGAACCCGATTCCTTCCACATGGGGCTGTTTCTTCGGGACGTGCGACTGCACGTCCAGGCTGCGCTAGCTAACGACAACTAGCAGCTAAAAGCGTTGGCTAACGACGGCTAGCAGCTACCGATGGCTGCCAGCTAGCGGCTAACGGCAACAGCTAACGGCTAGCTGCTAACGGCTATCGACCCTTTTGAGCTTTTTCTGGTGCCTGAGAGGAGGTTCGACCATGTCTGGTTGGCCTCGTGTGGATCCTCTCACGATTTCGCCCACCTGTTTTTGACCGTGGACAGTACGACCCTTTTTGAGCTTTTTCTGGTGCCTGAGAGGAGGTTCGACCATGTCTGGTCGGCCTCGTGTGGACCCTTTCGCCTTTTCACCACCTCGACGGCGGCTTCGGACGTCACCCAGGCTTTCATCAGCGCCTGGGTGGCGCGCTTCGGGACCCTGCCTGGCCTCTCTTCTTACCGCGGCTCACGGATCGCCTCGACGGCGGCTTCGGACGTCGCACTGTCTGGCCTCTCCCCTGTCCACGGCTCCTTCCTCCCGGTGATGCTGCTCCTGCCCCCCAGGGACACGGCTCCTTCCTTCCTCCAGGTTTTCGTGCCCGCTCCTTCCTGCTGGGGACCACCGGGTTATTCACGCCCGTCGCAGCTCAGCGACCCAGCCTTCTCCGACTGGCAGGTTAGTTCTTCATTCGCCACGACGCCTACTGCGGCCCGCCCCCAACCCCCGGTGGGGATGCCCTCGTTAGGGCCTCTACCCTCTCCTGCGGCCCCCTTCCGCAGGCCCGTTCCATGGCCCGGCCCTCGCCTGCAACCACGCCCTCCTCGGCCCCTGTGGTGCTTCCTCCCAGACGCGGGGATTGTCTCCATGGTTGAATTCTGGGGGGGCTTGTGTAGTGGTCACTAATTTACTCTATGTACACAATTCACTCATGGAACTACGGGTTGGGGGTATTGTTTCCGCACGGACATATATGGTGTTACCTTTATATGTTGTGTGCCCTCCTGGCTCTTTCTCTTGTCGTCCCGGGCTGCGACCCAACAACATCTACATTT